ATTGGAAGAACAAGTTTAAGAAACTTGAAAGTGATTAAACGATGGAGTTTCCATTCATATTGAACCATGAATCATAAAAACAAACACGAAGCAATTCTGAGAAAAATGAATACGAATTCAGATGAAACAATCAGGAACCTAAAAGATATTGAAAACCCACAAGGGAATCGGAATACGAGATCCAAAATGTTTCTGAATCAGAAGAAAGACCACGCAATTGTGAATTAAATACCAGATCTAGATCGAATGAAGAACAAGAAACCCCACATAATTGTGGATTAAATACGAGATCTAGATCAAAAATCAAAATGTTTCTGAATCAAGAACGCACATCTGGATTAAAACCTGTAAAAAGAAAGAGGAATTACCAGATCTCCAAATCGAAAATGCTCTCCTTCTGCTGTTCTTCAAACCCTTTCTCTCTCTCTCTTTCTCTCTCTCTCTCTCTCTCTCTCTCTCTATCTCTATCTCGAATGGACCTGGTGTTAGAAATGAGGAAGGACAAAGAGATGGGCGTTGTTTTAAACCCAACATCCACAATACATTATTTCTTCTATTTCTATTTTTATTTTTTTTTAATTATAAATTCTGGCTTTATTTTTTCAAATTCACATTCCCAAAAACCAAAGCTTACTTTTGAGTCGGTTTAACGATAAATTGTTTTATTTATTTATATTTTTGTTTCTTAAATTAAAAACAATAAATACAGTATAAATTTTTTTATATATTTTTAACTATCCATCCTTTCAAGTTAAAAAAAATGTTTTTTAGATTTATTTTTAAACATTTTTCTCACTTTCTAAATATATTTGATTGAAAACTAATTGTAAAATTATATTTATTTAATATATATAGAGACCAAAGGTTTTTAATGAGACTCATAAGACCAATTTATGTTCATTGATCAACTTTATAAGCTAATGATCTAATGGTCTAAAGTTGTATGGTGACAATTTTATGATTATGGAGGTTCAGATTGGGCTTTTTTGTTCTCTATCATTTAGGTTAGAAGAAAAATCTATGTACATCTAAAGTTGTACGGTGACAATTTCATTATTTTCTCCTTTTCAATGACTTTAATGGCAACGAGTTCTTTGGTTTTGATGTTATGAGCGGTGTAGATTTTGGTAAAATTTACTCAAACACTTGTGACTAACTCTGAACTGTGTAACTATTGCTGATTGAGTACCACTGATCTAAACCGAGTTATTCGTACTAATAAATAAATTGTTATGAGATTAAAAGTGATTATAGGACAAAAATGCTACTCGTTTAACAATAATTTTTAACCGCCGTTAGGGAGCGACAAAATCTGAAAGTTTTTTGCAAACCGCAATTGTCATCTTGTAATTTTGAAACTATAAAGACAAAAAAGCGTTATTTTTGACAAACCAAAGAACCAAATTTGTAGTTTACTTTATTCCCATTTTAATTTTTAAAAATGAATTAATTAAAAAATTTATAAATAAATTGTAACCGAAGAAAAAACATGAAATCCTAATATTTTAAAGATTTTTGATGAATTATTATTATGTTCCGATTTCGGTTTAAAAAAGTAAGTGGATAATATATATAATATTCTCATCATTTTTGCTACTGTATATAAGCGAATAGTCATGTGAAAAGTGAAGTTATGGTAAATAACGTAAAAAGATATCTGAACTCTTGATTATTTTCAATCTCATGTTTATCCATAAATTACGCTTTAAAAGAGAATGAATCTCGTTACATCTAATTAGTGTTGACATTCAATTGGATTGATCCAAAGATAGAGATTTTTTTACGTCTTTTCACCATAACTTATCTTCTTACTGAAACCAACCCCCCACCCACACACACACACACACACACACACACA